CTCTCTCTCTCTCTCTCTCTCTCTCTCTCTCTCTCTCTCTCTCTCTCTCTCTCTCTCTCTCTCTCTGTGTGTGTGTGTGTGTGTGTGCCGAGCGCTTGCGCTTTTTCACCTACCCTCCCCCACTTTTGCATACCCAGTACTCCTGCTACTCTCTCTCTCTCTCTCTCCTCCCCCCCTCCTCCCGAAGTGTTTCTCGATCAACCGCTCACTCTTCTCTCTCCTCCACCCCTCTCCCTTTTCCTCCCACCTCCTCCCTTTGGACTTGGAACACCTCCCTCGTGATCCACATTACTGGCGAATACAATAATAACCTAATGCTCCATCTTAACATACAGCTAGATCAGTTTTGTCTTTTGTGCAGTTGGTGACTGGTGCGGCGAAGCCCATACATACATAATGTTGGCATTTGACTGAGTCCTCCCGCGATGAGGCCCTTAATCAATACACGTCAGCTGCACAAGCGCATGATACACCTGGCAAACAAGTTCTATACTACTCCATATATCTATATATATCGTCACAAACAGAACTGCCCGGTAAACCGTAGGCAGAGAGAGAGAAGAGGACAATAGATATAGATATAGATATAGATATATCGTATATATCGATATCACACGTGATTAACCGGGACCGCCAGTTTCAGCTCCTGACTAATAGGTCCAAAACTGAAACTAGGGTTTGGGGGTCAAATTTTATGTTTTTTTTCCTTTTTTTTTGGCATGTTTTTGTTTTGGTTCAAGGTTGTTGTGTACCAAATTTGGTCTCTGGCCTAAGGTTTCTGAAATTTCTCAAGATTTCTGAAACTGAATGTTGGCAAACTTTGCATAAAAGTGCACTTTTGCCTTACAGTTTTATAGGGTTTTTTTTTTTTTTTTTTTGCAGTTACTAACTATGGTATCTACTCTATGACTCGGTGGCAAGTTTGGTTAAAATGACCCCCTTGGATTTTGTTATAAATGGCATGACAAGTTGTCTGAAAATTAGGCCTCCATTAACCGCCTCTCATCGATATATCAATGGTTGTTCTCTATTGGACCAGTTCTAGTAGTAACTCCAGTAATATTAAGCTATTTAGTTGTACCTTTTGGGAAAAATATAATTTTATCAGATATTCCGTTAGGAATATTTTTCTGGATTGTTATATCAAGTATCACTCCTCTAGGATTATTAATATCAGGTTATACGTCTGACAACAAATATTCACTACTGGGCGGATTACGTGTTGCTACACAATCTATCAGCTATGAAATTCCCTTAGCACTTTGTGTACTATCCATATCTCTATGTGTGACTCGTTGTCTTATTAGATTTCAATAAGAATTTTTTTGATTTTTTGAATTTCCTTGTTCTCATACTGGTTCCTTGTTTTTCTTTAGGCTTGTATAGGATAACGGTGACTTTGGTCTCATATACATATATATATAATATTCATATACATATTTTTATATTCTATTGTATTACATTGTATTACTTTAGTATGCAAAATATAACACGAGCCAAATAGACCTAAGCAACATAAGTACTTATAAAGATCACTTTTTTATGCAATTCAAATTCAATATTTACAAAAACATTGAGTAAGAAAAGATGCAAAAGATAAAAAATATAAAGCTGTAGGAAACAAGGAATGTATATATTTAGATATTACAATGAATAATGGATATTATATTAATAATAAATACAACCAATTTTTAAGTAAAGAATTTTTTTTAAATGCCTTATAGTTCCAACGATAATAAAAGTGAATGAATCATAAAAGCACCGTTAAGAAATAAATTTATTCTGTGAATTAATTCTGTAGGTTGTTGATTAGGCCATGAAGATCTTATCCATGTAATGGAGATAAGTCAGATTATCTTCAAACAGCGGTGTAAAGTGAAATCCTAACGAATCATTCGAAAAATGCATAATTTAGGTTTAGATATCATTCAGGTATTTGTTTCTGGCAAAGAATCAAAAAACAAAATTTGTTGCTTTTTTTAATCAGTAATTAACTTAAAACAATTCATCTATAGATTTTAGATAGATCTATCTATAGATAGAGATAAATCTATAACTTGTCACAGAACTATTGACTAAGACCGCAAACACGTAAAGTAAAAGAAGAAGTAAGATGAGCGAAGAAAAAGAAAAAATGAACGGACAGACAGGCAAAGAGACAGACAAACCAGAAAGACACAAAACAGTGTTTTCTTCTTCTTTGTTTTAATGTATTCTTATTTCTTTCAGTGTTTTATAATTTTTTTACACTGAACAAGGGATAAATATCAAAAACAAAGACATTCAAACCATTCAATTTCTCAGTCTTCTTAACTCCTCCTCCACTGTGCCTCTCACGTACAAGGCTCACCACGTTGATGCAATTGAGCGCGAGCTGCCACCATCCCCTTATGCTATAACAACCCACTTGCACACTGTGGGAAAGAGGCAGAGAAAAGGGAGAGGTGTTAAACACATGGAAGAGAGGAGCAGACAAGGAAAACCAAAAGGCGAAGGGAAGGTGACACAACTTCTTCTTTCTTCTACTGCATTCTTCTTTCTTTTGCTGGATTCTTCTTTCTTTTGCTGTATTCTTTTTCCTTTCATAGTTTTGCAGTTTTGGTGAAGGGTCTACCACGTTCGCTTTTCAGTACACCTGCACTTCCTTCTTTACTTTTATTCTCATTTTCACACTTCTGACTTTTTCTTTGAGAGCGTTAGGGTGCAGGGTACAAACAAAGTAAAATAGCATGAACTTCTTCTTTGAAGTTCTTTCTTTTACTGCATTCTTCTTTCACTGTCTTGCAGTTTTAGTGAAGAGTCTCCGACTTTTGTACACTCTTTTCAGCGCACCTGCACCTTTTTGTTAAGGTGCAAGGTACGTCTGAGTAAAACCCTCACGACAGAGTGGACAACTATTATAGGATGTGGGCAATGATAGCAGCCGAACGAAGACGATTCAGGCAAGCAACCTCGTCACAGCAGGAGCCAGGACGACTAGCATCAACCATACCTCTGAAGCATGCACGGCAGAGGGCATGCCGGTTGCAGGCCATGAGGATTGTGGGGCGTTCACCATCACAGTTAAGTGCACATTCGCTATAGTGCCCGCAGACACAGATGGGACATACTGCATCTAGATGTAGAGGATGTTCATAATCGGGATACAGGTGGCATCCCTGCAGACAGCGGGCCCAAAAAATAATATGGTTGTAGTGACGTCGACTAAGTTGATGCTTTCCACAGCCAAGTGTAACTGTGTCAGAGGCCGCACAAAGAAGGAGGTCACAAAGGGTTAGTGCAGCATGTGGGGGAATAAAGACTGAAGCCGGCACGGTGACAGACACGGAGGTAGGTACGGAGATAGACACAGAGATGGGCACGGAGACAGGTGTGGAGGCAGGCACAGAAACGGGCGCAGAGGTGGGCACGGAAGTACACGAGGTACCCATAGGGTCAGTAACCTGGAAGGAGACAGACACAGAAACAGGCACGGAGACAGGTGCGGAGGCAGGCACAGAGACGGGCGCAGAGGCAGGCACGAAAGTACACGAGGTACCCATAGGGTCAATAACCTGGAACGGTTGCAGATTAGGGTAATTACGCACTAAATCACAGATGGCAGTAATAGTTTGCACCATAGCACCGCCATTCCATAATTCCCAAGAAACAGAGGCACGAACAAGAGCAGTGCAATGGCAAGGAGTATGTAGAATGTAGGCACAAACGTGCGAACAGTGGCCCGGGTCGCCACCCAAAAGGGTATGCTCCATATCAAGTTGGCGCCTTATCAATTCAGTCTCCAAAACAGAGACGTTGAATCCCCCATGTCGAGTGTAGTTACTATTGTGTGGGGGGTGCTGAGTCGGGTTATTGCCATATGACTCACACTCCTGAGCATCAAGATCAGAAGCAATGGCTAAGAAATCAGAGTATATGGTTCCCGACGATAGGGTTGTAGGCAAATGTTAGTAGCAACGAGGCCACACAGATTCGATGGAGGGCGCTCGGGTGGATTTTCCACAGAATCCCCTACAGTCCCCTTGCCAAGTACATCCTCAGATGGTCCCTCACCATCATCCCTTCTATTTTGTGCTTGTCGCGCTGCAAAAACGTCTGCAGTCGAAGAGCGTCGTACTCGTGGCACAGATGCTGAGGGCGGCAAAAGATGGGGACGGGATGTTGGGGAGGGTCGTGATGGGGAGAATGCACGGGTTCTTCTTCGTCCAAGAACAGAGATGGAGGAAAGGGGAGTAAGCTGGCGAGTGAGCCGCGACCGGTCT